GCTGGCATCAACTTGTATTGTTAGTGGCTTCCTAATATCTCTGGTGGGAACAATTTTGGTCTTCAGCCTCCATTTCTATGGCTCCAACAAGGTCAAACACTACTTTTGTGATATTTCACTGGTTATCCAATTTGCCTGTGCTGAAACCAATGTCAATGAGCTGGTCATCTTCATCTGTGGCATCTTGGTACTTGTTGTTCCCTTGATCTTCACCTGCATGTCTTATGGCTTCATTGTCCATACCATCCTGAAGATCCCAACTAATGAAGGCAAGTGGAAAGCCTTCTCCACTTGTGCCTCCCATCTTATTGTGGTCATTGTCCACTATGGCTGTGCCTCCTCTGTCTACGTGCAGTTCTCAGCCAAATATTCATCAAGCAAAGACAGGCTGTGACAGTGATCTATATCACCTCTACTGCACTTTGAACCCAATGGTATACAGCCTTAGGAACAAAGATCTACAGCTGGCCATTCAGAAAGGAAAGACTTGGTTTTCTCTTATGAGTTTATATTAGAACATCTTCAAATGTACACACACATTTAGGCCAAATGTGTCACTACGTGTTTAAGTCATAATATTTTCTGCTAATGTTATCTGTGTGGTCTTCAATGAGTTGTTTGATATCGCAGGGCCTAAATATTCTCTTACACAAAGCAGGCATGATAATATATTCCTCTCAATGCTGTTGAAGGATTAAAGGAGATATATCGCACAGTGTCTGTCACTAAAAGTTAGCTTTCCTCCTCTTCTTGTTCTAAAAAGGCTTAGGAGGAGGAGCTAAGATGGCTGTGGAGTAGGAGGACCTTGGGCTTGCCTTATCCCTTGAACACACTTAGCTAACTGCCAAATTGTTCTGAATACCCAAGAAATTGACCTAAGGACTGGCAAAGAAGTTGCACAAATAGAGGGAGTGAAGAGGCTACCTGGAGGAAGGTAGGAAGTATGGAGATGTGGTATGGGGGAGGAAAGGATTGTGGATGCTGAAGTGAAGAGGGAGACTTGTTTGTATACAAGGGTGAGAGACAGCAGAGCACATAGGGATATACACAAAGAGAACACTTCTCCAAAGCCATGAAGAAATGAGAGGGGCTGAATTGATGAGTTTTGCAACCAGTGGGACTCAAAGCCTGGAGTTTTAGATTCATTTACATGGTTGGGATAGAATCCCAAGGGTTTTACCCTCCTCCTGGAAGGAAGGCAGCCAGGGGGCAGATGGTATGATCTGAGGACCACCTAAGGTGCATGGGGAGAAATGGTTCACTCCTCTTGGAGTGCATCTGTGAAAAGTGGAATTTGTGAGGTTCCCTCTCCAGGTACAAAGGAGCTCACAGGCACCATTTCCTTCCCCCACCATTCAGCATAGGCACAGAAATACCGGCTGAGGGTGGCTGACCTAGACACTGGTTATTTGGCTTGCATTGCTTCTTACTTTATACTCTTGCACTCTGGAATAATTGCCCTTCTTGGTCACACTTGGATCAGAACCAGCATGGCAAGACCCTCCCCCAAAAGACCAGTGCAGGTCCATACCAATCAGGCCTCTTAACTCTAAAACTCAGCAGGCTTGGATAGAGCCCAGAGTGCACTGTGCCTCCCCAAGCACCAAGCAACTCAGACTAAATCAGTATTCTGTCACTCTCCTTCCATATGAAAGGACTTAAAGACTTAAAGACAGGATTTCTGTAACACTTTTGCTGTGGACTCAAGTCCTGACCCCACGATGTATTGGCTCTGGGACTCTGATGTGTCTAAATCAGTTTTCTCCTCTTTATAATGGAGTTCAATCTGATAATCAGCTAACCTAACTTTCAAGCTTTCTCCAAAATAAGTG